GGTGTGTGTGTGTGTGTGAAAGTCAAGTTCATAGTGAAATGAAATTACTTTTATCATGAGTCAATGCAGCCATGGACTTCCATCACTGATAAATAATGTTCTCATGATGGAATCCAAAGCCATTGTAACAGAAATGCATAGGGCTTCAGGCTTTCCAATATGGTGGATTGACACGAATCGACATGTTCAGTAGCAGTCAGCACGCGACGTGTGAAATGTGTACAGTAGGATTTTAATGAAACTGCTTCAACATGAAAGTGGCTCTTACACGAAGGGGGGGGAGTAAATTTAACACTGTAAACCCTAGACAAACGGGGAGAATTGTCATATGCGCTTACGAGAGAATTGGAAATATCTTGATCGCCATACGGATACATTTGAAATCAAACGTCTCAATCTTCTAAAACCTATCAAATATCGAATGGGAAATATCGAATGGCACAATACACGGTTTGAATGAATGAATTGTATCACTTCACATGAGATAAAAATCAAAATTGATAGATCTGATTTATTTTAATTTGACAGTGATGTGTTTTTGCACTGAGGACAGCTGGCTTAGATGTGGTTTTCTGACAGAAATTCGATTTTCACTCTAACAGTTTTATTCAGTCTGTAAACAGCTTTGTGAGCCATTAGATTGTTCAGAACGTATTCAACAAATACATCATATTCTTCAGATAATCTCCATCTTCTCCTAAAATCTCTATCGATATTTATAAAAGGGACTAACTAAATTGAGGGAACAAAAAAGTTTCAAAATACCGTGTTTCAATCGTGTTGGTTCTATGCATGGTGAATGTGTCAAATAATCCTGCTCAACTGTAAGACAGAGGGGAGAAGCATAACAATGATACACATAAGTACTGAGAAGTTCTATTAGCAAAACGACGATTCTGTGAGTTTTGCAGGCATCATAAAGTATTTCATTGGCCTTGAATTATTACTGCATCGCTGTGTGATATTTAAAGTAAGCTTATCTATCACAGTGCCCAGGCTCTACACTTATATAAAGAAATCAATGTCACTAAAATGAAAGTAGAACACCACTGGTGGTGAAATATCCGACTGATAAATTAAACAGCTTTGTTTTCATCCTTCACACAACAAACAAAATCATTAAGTATTACCCCCATATGATGGAAGAATAGGGAAAGCGGGACAGGTATTTCAACACATGAATTCTCCATTTAATGCAATCACAACTGCCCATGCGCTTTCAACTCCTTCTCACATGACCTCCTCAATTATTACTTTTATTTCGGATTATAGCTTGATTCCACAGCGTATTTTTTGGTACAGGTATGGAATTTTCAGCATGTGATATCGGTAGCCCGAACTTTGCAGGCCGACCATAGATATCGTGTGTGCGTTGGCAGGGGGTCGAACCCCGGACCATGTGCAAGTTCGGCGAGAGTCCTGACCACTGTGTCACCATCACACTTATGTTCATCTTGTCGTTCCCGATTCAGGTCCACTCGAGCGATGACCTGGCATGCAACGGTCCCACGAAAATAATTCTGATCCATCTCCATCTTCATCCACATATTTGTTGGGCAATAATGTCTCGATTGGTTCGTGCCACAGCTGAGTTGCTTGTTTCTGGTGCCTTCTGGCAAGCCAAGCATATGACTCGCGGTATGGAGCCATTTAAGTCAGTCCTTGATGAAGTTTTGCGACAGGGCTGTTGGAAATGCTCTTCGCGGTGTGCTAGTCACGTCTCTCAAACACCAAGAAGAATTGACTTACTAACATTGCTGTGAAAATCCGAATTAAGTTATATTTGCTGAGGCGGAGTGCAGTAGATTTTCAAACTGATTTCAGAGTGTTGAACGTCTGTCTTCTCTTTCCAATTCTAGGTGGTCGCTACACTCTCATGTATCCCGAATGCCTGAGGTTGAAACGACGACACCCAGTCAGATAGGTGAAAGTTGTGGTTTCCTTCAAATTCCCCTTCCCCTCATTCGTGCTTGATATGAATGTTAGCTGGTTATCCGCATCCCACTGTCTTCTCGATTTCCACTTGAATTACTGTCTATGTTGTCTGCCTCTTCTTACAGCTTGGTGGTTTCGGCCTGTAAGTCTTCGACTTTGCGTGACACTAGACACAAATCGGCTAGAAAGTTCAGATATTCTAGTGTCTTCTTATCAGTTCCTATTTACTCGTTCCTCACGCACAGTCTTTCACAAAATCCAGCAGACCACCACCAGCAGGAATGTCATCGTTGATATTTACACAAGTGATTCAATTGAGAAATCACAATGAATAGCATTCATTCGAGTTCACATTCAGCATTGAATCTTAACTAAAAGCTCAATTTTAACATTTAATAAAGTTCAACCCTAGCACAAAATGAGTTGATCACTTCTACTAACAAATCTTACACAACACAAACATTCATTCCGGTGAGCTGACTATTATAAGAAATGTGGATGGAGTCAAGGCGTTATGCACAAATATTCATTGCAATAATTATTCCTCACCTCTCAGTTTAGCAATCTCCATTCTCACAAACCTAATATGCGGCTTCATTATTTTTATAAAATCACCTGAATGATATATAGAAAAGTGAACATTTACACCAAGTGTGAATTAACAATTACTTATAAGTAGGCAGCATGTCTAAAATGTGAACATTTTCAGTAGCACATTTAAGAAAATGAATGTTGAGAAAGAGGTTTCCGATGATCAATGAAATATTCATCGCCTCGTCCACTCACCTTTACACACAAACAAACCCACACGTACAACAAGATGTAATGAGCATTTAGGAGGATATTAGAGAAAATGTTTGTAAAACTAATGAATACCTACCAAATTGTTTATCTAGATTAAGGAACTTCGGCAGGACTTCTGAAATTTGTTGGGAAGAACACGTCTTATATAAACAAACTCTTTGAACACGGAATAATAAGAAATACTGAAATAGTTTAGTGAAGTGTAACATTCTGTGGAATAAAGCAGTGAGATGAAGAATATTTGATGACAAAGTGGTCCTTCAGTTAAACTTCGTTTTCTCTCTTTCCAACTTAAGTGCTATGAGCACTATTCATCCCAGAAAAGGTTAAGAGCAGTTTGTTCATTTAATAAATTTCGATATACTTATTGAAGATAACGAAGCTGTCCTGGAAGAATTTGATGTGTATTTTTTATCCACACTGTGTCCCTACACACACACATATGGGCAAACACTTGCAATTTCAGCTTGAATGAAAATTGAGTAGGTTTATGGTCTGACGAAGTAATCAGGGATTTAAGCATGTTAAGGATGACAACTGATAATCGAAGCACGTTAATAGCAACCACAAATGATTTTCGTTCAAACATGTTGTGGTTAATTTCACCCATGGCAATCACCTCAAATTACTTCATTAAGCAGGGGGTCATATGCAAATAACCTTAAAACCTCTTTCAATATTATTCTTATAACTAACGAAGTACAGTGAATCAGTTTAGTTTGTTCAAGCGGTTTGGATTCGCATGCAGCTAACTCTTACGTCTCACATTCATCACTGGTCATATCAGATACACTCCTAAATGCTTTCACCTCGAGGAAGAATTATTCACTGGTGAAAGTGTCAAGAGGTTTCTTATATCAAATTAACCATGCAATAAGAAACAAAAGATGTTGTTTGACCACGGATTGATATAACTTAGCGAAGGATTGGAAAGTAGCATGGTGAAGTGGACAGCTGTTTCGCGCTACATTCGGGCTCACCGGTAGTACACCGGTACCGACACTTTCGAGGTCAGGATCATGCAGTTACAAATCAAGCTCACAGACCATTCAGCCACTGTGATCCAACTCCTCAATGGTCAGCGCATGAATTGAAGCCTCTACAAATTCTTGATTTTCAGCCTGACTGCTCTCAGTCAGTGTTATCAGTGGGTGTTTATCCTCAACCCGGGTTCAGATATAGCCCACTGGTCACAAATACATATCAGATGTCCACAGGTCTTCACTTCGTTCTCCAGGCAATCAGTAGCTAGGGAGTATCTGATTAGTTATCAAGAGTTGGTTAAAAACAAATTTTCAAAGAACTCTACAAACCTGCGTACAATCTCAATCGATATAATATCTCGGAGTTTTGAGTTGAACATTCTACAACTGGAAATTATTTTTTTAATATTTTTTAGTTACACATTCAACTTACACTTATCCAGCAGTGTTCTCCGTTTCAGTTTCCCCAACAAATAATCTAAATGCGGGGCGGGGGAGGATAAATAGAAACATGTCATAAAACGTTCCCCACTATCAACAAACAAAGAGAAGTCATTCAGTTGATCGGGGTGTGAAATTTATTCAAGTAAAGCTGTAATAACCTCTAGAGAAATGCAAGAGAGTCTTGTACACCGAACTGTCACCATCACACATTCTCAAGTTGACTTATTTCACGCTGACTACATAAATGAATTTCCCATAGGACTTCTCTCCTTGATTATGATTGATGAATTTTGCTACTGCTGTTTTCGTCGTTGGTGATGATGGTGGTGACGATGACAGTGGTGGTGGTGGTGGTGGTTGGGCGTCTTTATCATCTCTGTCTTTTGTGCGATCACCTTGAATCTGATAATATGTGAACAAGTCATCGAAACATTCTCAAGTTGACTAATCTCATTCATCAGTAGAGAAGAGATGAAAGATTCCCACAGACAAGAAGTGAGTAGTTTTGTTGTTTTACACATATTCATCATAACTCCTCAACATTTAACAGCAAGCATGTTTTGGTTCAGATGATATAGCGATTTGTTTTGCAGGGTGTCAGTAATTCTCTTGAATCATCAATTCCAGGAGATATTCAGTATACTGGCGGAGATGTTTGCATCAACCTACTGATGTCGATCACACGACATACTGCGTTGGTGTGAAGACTACATTATCAAAACATCGACCTACTTTATCGTGCTCATTGTGGTAGGAAGTCATGTATTATTGCGAAGCATAAGTGAATATTCCATCAGAATAAAATGCAAAGATAAGTTAAATAGTGATGCGTACTTTTTGTCTCATTCATTTGCGATTCTGCAAACTTCCAATTTGTTTCACTGTCATTCGCCATTCCTGTAAGGAAGTAGAATGTTTACTCATGAAGGGAGAACAGAGTCAGTCATTCAGACTACACAATAAATATCGAAAATATTTTATCCCACTGATGTCAAAATGCTTGCAGACAATAGGAGAACAAACAAACACTCCTTCTCACACGATGTTTAATAGAGAAACGCATATGTGAAGATATTGCCAATTTGAAATCCAAAATAATAATACGAGATGCATGTTGATTTATGTGTGTAAATATCACACATGAGCATGTGATGAACATGTTCCGAAACAATGGTAAAAATGCATATAATTTCTTCAAATGGTGAAAAAAATACTAAAGATTACTAAGGTCATCTCACCATCAAACGATTCCGAAAAATGTAGAAGCGTCTCATAATCTTCATTCCATCCCCAAAATCTGTCTAAAAGAAAAATGCAAAATAAATCCGGTACGCTCAAATACCTCATGAGTATTATATGAGTGAATTCTTAGGAAACCCTGTGCCTCAACGTCACTTCATTCATCTTTTTATACAGATTAACAGCAGCAAAAGACCTGTGCATTCTCCATCTGAAACTGACTTAATTATCAACATATTACTCTGCAGGAAAGTGCATCAGTTCAAGTTTCCAGAATTGATTATTTTACACACACAGGGGTACAGACCAATAATGCTATCCAACCTCATTGAACGGAAATGCATAAGTAAAAGCATAACTACATGAAGAATGGTGAGTATATGTATATTGGATGTGAATTTGGAACATTAGAAGCAGTGAATACACATGCGCTCACTTTTCATACCGATTTTCAGCCTTATCACCAACAACACTCTCCTGCCTCGAATAGATTCATATTGACCATAATGTGTGAAGTGGGGTGTCGCTCTGATAAGAAGTGTGAATAACACACTGTGTTGGATAAAAATCGACTATAACAGCTGATCGAACTCACAACATTCACTAAACCTGTGAAGTTTAAGAAAGCACTGGCACTAAAACAGTCTTCAATATGTCCACTCCCCTCCTTGTTATTACAGCTGTGAATGTGTGAGTGTGGATCTCCACGCCAACTACAGAAATGAATTTCACGCAGGACGTCTCTCCTTGACACTGACTGGTAAATGTTGCTGCTGACATTGTTGCTGGCGATGGTGATGGAGGTGGTCAGCCATCTATCTTCCATGTGCTCACATAGACTAGGCGAATATGTGAACCAGTCGTCAACCGTCAAGCCGTTTTCTCTCACATTCTCAAGCTAACTAACCTCACGTGGCAATGGGGAAGAGATGAATGATTCCAACAGACATGAGGTCGGTAGTATTATTGTTTCACACGCATGCACCACCACCTCCTAAAAATGAACAGCATGTTTTGGTTCAGATGATATAGATATTTGTATCGCAGGGTGTCAGTAATTCTCTTGAATCATCAATTCCAGGAGATATTCAGTATACTGGCGGAGATGTTTGCATCAACCTACTGATGTCGATCACACGACATACTGCGTTGGTGTGAAGACTACATTATCAAAACATCGACCTACTTTATCGTGCTCATTGTGGTAGGAAGTCATGTATTATTGTGAAGCATAAGTGAATATTCCATCAGAATAAAATGCAAATATACGTTCGCAGGTGACTTACTTCGATTCATTTCTTCAAAATATCTTCCATTCCCCTCATTGCTTTTGTCGCTCCTCACCAACACTTAAACAGAGTATACATTGTATATATATGATCAATCTTGAATTTTACAGACTGAACTATAATTATATATATAAATTATCTCTAATTTCAAAATATTCGCAAGCATTCAGAGTACAAAGAATCCTTCTCGTAGGATGTTTGATTGAAAAACTCATAGGTGAAGGATAAAAGTTGATTTTTGTGGAAATATCAGCACACACAGCACACATACAACCATACACTGCATTGCAGGCATTTGGCAAGGAAATCAAGTTCCAATTTGTCTGTCATACAGTGCAAACCAACCCTCCAAAACACGAACGAGTCAAACTGCATATACTTTATTATAGTTAGAATATTTATTATTATTATTTATTGTCCTCTTACTTTTGAAGGAATCGCTCCAAAGAATACCTGTTATGTTGATGTTTTCCCCCTTTAAAATTAGACCTGAGAGAAAAATACACCTAATAAATCCTATACGCTCAAATAGACCATGATTATTATGAATGAATTTCTCATAATTCAGCCTTCGTTCACAATGTATAGAAATTTATTAACAGGTGAATTTCAGACAAACAGCTGTACATATTTTAGACAATATAACACATTGTTAATAATAATATTAATAGCTTTATTGCAAACAGTGCTTTCAGTTCAAATATGCGATTTCCAGCATGTTGTACAGTATTGCATGTAACCTTCTCATTACAGGAGTAATAGTTAAAAAGGAGGGTGACATTTAAATTGATGAAATTGTTCAATAAAAAAATGAATACAAAATTAAATTGGGTGAAAATATTACTAACAATGTAACAATGAAAATAAAATGAGGCTTAAATGTACCACCGAGTTGGCAGTTCAGCAGTAGAATGCTCGCCAAACACGCCACACTTGTTTCGGGCCTCTAACCGCCATCGCAGACTCACTCCCACACACGTCCAAGCCGATGCTCAGTCTAGTGAAGAGGGAAGTCTGAGTGTGGGGTGGGGCTAGTAGCCCCATGCTGTGAAATATAAAACCACTGCTACTGAAACTTCAGAAGCACCTTGTTCAATCCGGAACGTAAAGGAGCAACATAAATACATAAGTAAAATATAGTCGTACTTACTCCTTCCCAAATTTGATTGTACAAGCAGTGGAGCGACGATAGTTAGAAGGAAGACTGTGCACCGATTCATCATGTTTATATTTGATCATTCAATTCACGAGTATTTATACCAGTGCTGAAATTCAGATGTCTGTGAGCACAGTATAATCCTGGATGGTGGTTGGCCGATTCAATCTGTCTTACTTTATTTCACGTCTTGATTGGATTCTGAATGGAGTGATACCCACGTTTGATCAAATAACAACTTGTGTGAGCCTATCATAGAAGAGAAAATCAGCAGAGGGAATGGAGGGTGACTTCAGTTTTGCAAATATTTTGGAGCACTTCATATGTTATATATAATTCAATGTTGGAGACAAGTAAAAGAGTAGGTTTATAGAAAGATATTCATTGCCGCTCACACATAAATCACCTTTGCAATGTTTCCACATTCAATTTGTGGCGCTGAATCGGCTTCTTCTCAAAGCAGAAAATTTGCAGTAGACATTTTTGTGGAAATACATTGTCAGTGAAAACCAACAGTCCACCTGTTCGGTGTGACAAATCGAAGAGTTCTACTTCAAAATCTATACAGATTAATGCATAGAACTGAAGACGGTGTATTCATTACCACTCTACCCACAATCACTTGTTGACCAACACTGGGAAGACGAAGCAGACAAGAAATCATTCAGTACAAATTGTCAAATTCTGAATGCTGTAGAAAGTTACATAGTGTCTTAAGGCCAGTGATGATTTTGGCACACAAACAGAATGTGGCGCCTATTGGAATACTGACGAATAACATCCTTAGCTGAGTCCAACCTTATTATTATTTCCAAGGCGATCACATCGTCGCTTAATGAAAACAATATGTGGAAACAGAGGCATACTACAATCCTTTGTACACAAATCATACTCATTTTGATTGGACACTAGTAACTAGTGAGACGTTTCTAGATTTTTCTTTGGTGCAGAATGAATTCTATCAGTCAGGTTTGCAATGTGGCCACCGTGGCACCATGGTGGTGAGCTACCTAGAATGGCGGCCACAAGACACGTCGCACTAGTTACTAGTGTCCAATCAAATACATACCACAGTCCTACAGGAGGTCAATCACGAGCTGTGACTGCAGCACTGGGAGACGCAAGTTTAAATCTTAGAACAGACGTGAGTTCCTTCAAGGTTGTAGGTACGCCTTGCTGACGAGCGTCAACTAGCACGAAACCTGTCGACCTATGAATTCAATGAACAGCCGGAAAAGTCACAATTTCACCTCACAGATATCACATTAATATCACTCACTTTTTTGTTAAGCATTTCCTGCATGCTGATGATGTGAACCAACTAGAATGTTGGAGAGAATTTATTTCTTAATCAATAAATTCATTATATTGCTATATTCAGTTTGACATTTAATGATAGAAAGTATACCGACGTGAATCAATCGTTGCATGTGGAATCTCTTATTTCTGCTTAAATTTCTCATAGTCTGTTAAGGTTCTTTCAAATAACTTCATGTATAGCTTCGGTAGTATTACCTTTATAATTTTCTTTCCAGAAATCTAACTCTGCAGATGCGAAATCACAAGTCGAAATCGTTAACTTCCAGTGCGCAGACCTTTTGGTAATTTTCTGTTATGATGTAAAGTATGACAGACACCCATCCCACAAGTCAGCAGACAGATATGTCCCTTTAGTAGCTCCTCTTCAAAGCTGTTCAACTATGCGTTTGGGTGCTTATCCATACAGTTTGGGGTTGACATCAAGCGTGAAAAGTTACTGTCAGTAGCAAAGGAACTGAGTGAATCAACGGGTATGAGTAACAACTACGATTGTGATAGTGAGAATAATCCTACGCATTCGAGAGGACTGACAACTCATCAGCAAAGTGAGGAATAACGGTTTGGAAATGGTTGATATGAAAAACAAGATGAGGAGGGATTGGAAATGAGTTGCGAAAACATAAAACGGACCACTTAGAGCTTTTTATACACTTACTCAGCGAATCGAAGAATGAAGAAGATAAAAATTGTGCACTAAGAGTATTTCAATAAAAGAGGCTTGATAAAACGTTAGCGAACACAAATTACAGGTTCCCTCTAGGCATAGCTAAGAATTCGGCTGCACGAAGAGGATGTAGGTGAAAGTACCTAGAACTATTTAGTCGTACTCAATTTATGAATGCGAAAGTATTCTTCAAGATACTACCTGCCAAGAAGTAATGATATGTTCCAATTACGACTGTTGACAGGCCAATTTTTTTCTTTTTGACAAACACGCTCTAAAATGTTCATAAATGCCTCTCGGAAGTGTGCCGCGTCTTCAGGTTATGCTCTAAGCTCTACAAAAACAAGTGAACCAGTTAACAAACACAGAAATAAACAAAGTGCAAGTAAATTTCGAAGATTCCCGTCCCCACGCTTTCCAAGCATTTGATTGATATACATACATCAGAAAGGTTGAGGAGAGTCTCACTTTCCAGGTGTTCGTAAATCAGTCAGCAGATTTGAGCTGATCTACTACAAATCAATAATTCATTCATATCAAATCGTCGTCAGATTATCTACATTCACATTCATGCATTTTCTCATCCATCCATCCACCTATCCAGTCATTCATGATTCCCATCAATTTGGCAATGTATAAAAGACGAGAGAGAAAGGTTTTTGAGGGTAGACGTTGTGAGGGTTGTGAAACAGAGGCACGGAAGTTAATTTCCAAAAAAGACATGCACTAATCAGACAAACAAACAACTGAACCAACAAGCAAACAGAGAAACGTACAGGCAACAGTGGAATCTTCGTGAAAATACAGAAAATGAGAGGGAATACATAAGACGCTGTAGGGGAATTCAAGTGAAATTCGAAAAAGATTGTCAGTGTGAGTGTGAAAATCGGAATGTGAAATAAAAATATATAAGAATGTATCCATTGAAAGCAAAACAGACAATCTTGCCTACGCATATTATACTGAACCACAGAAACCATAATATCTCGCTTCTGTTCATCAAGCTAGTAATAAGCTCGTTGTGAGATTTATCAGGGTGATACCACTAGTTCTAATTAACCAACATTCCTTCGATGACCTTAATCTTCCGATAACACAAAACATTGACTGATATTATTTGAAGAAATCCGCCCTTGTATTTATTGTATGAATATATATCATAATTCAGAATAGTGATAATGATAATATTACTGTTAATATTATCATTATTATTATTATTCATATTACAGAGTGTAGGATATCTCATCTAATTATCAGGTATCTTAGTGAATAGTCTCACTGCTCATTACAGTTCACAGTGTCTCACTCACACACTCACACACGGAGAGAGAGTAAGGGAGTGACAGATACACACAGCATACGACACATTCACTGTCTCGCTGTCCAGTGTACAATGCACACACACTCTCTCTACTGAAGCTAAACACATTTTCTGGCACTACGATGAAATATGTCAGGGCGTGATATTAATAATAATGATGATGATTATTATTTTTAGTTGCCTTAAACCTGAAACAGTGAACTTGATCCTGTGTAAGTCTCAGTATTCTGTACCATGTCACATCCAATTTACTCGACAACAGGAAAATCAATGCGAGATACTATTGCAGGATATTCAGTGACAGACAGCATGGTTGTTCCAGCAGTGACAAGCATATCAAAATTATTTTTAAATGAGTAGACTAATGATCGAAATGTTAGTTGGTAAAATTGTAAGTAAGTTAATTGAAACTATGTCAGCATGTATCACAAATACGAGAGAACTGACGAGTCAGTTGTTTGCTAATAACAGCGTAAGTCATATGTGAATCAAAGTGAACCTGGGCGAAATAGCATATTGCTGAATTTTGTGCTTGGTTATATTAGCAGTTAGCATTTTCCAATTAATTCTAGTCCTGTCTAATGGGATGTAAGGGTGAT